AGCCATGGCCTATCCCCTGCTCCATGTGCCTTGGGCTCGCAGGTAAACATCAATGCAGTGGTGTAGACATCATTCGTAGCGATGGGAAGATGACAGACTAGAGACGGTATTCGACCGGTTTCGACTTTAATTCAGTCTTTATCAAGAATGACAGAGATCGGACCACTCCTCCTTTTATACTTTTACCGTGCCTATCTAGCGCAGGGCGCTCTGCTCAATGCAGTGGTGTAGTTATAGGATCTAAGGGTTCTGGGTTCGAATCTCTGACAGTCCCCACTGTTGTGTCCTCAGGAAAGGCAGCTATTTTTCCTCACTCTATGTGCCTCTGACTTGCAGGTAAAAAACTAACAAGTCTTGCTAGGATCACATTTCTGAACCAAGGACCAGCTGCACATTTACAGCTATCACTGTCAGGAGGCTATCATTTTTAAGTGCTTTCCCTGCCATCTTCTTCTTCTTCTTCTTCTTCCATATTACGGTCTCGGACCGGAGTTTTTCACGATTTTGGTATCCGGCGGACACCCTCAGACCGAAGGGCTATAACTCCGCCAAAAAAGTAACGCCAGGAAATCTCATTACATCAGTCAACGGAGGTTTCCAGCAGGCTTCCGATACAATTTTGGTTATTGTCCGTCGACTCTATAATTTGGGTAGAAACTGTAGTTAAACGTAAATTTTGGATACGAAAAATGTAGTTTTTTTGCAGTTTTTTCAACGGACCTGCTTGGAAAAAACGAATTTTCCCAGGCTAACGGCTTATATGCTGAAATAGCTTACTACTTTCTGTTTCTGAAAAACAGAAAAAAAATATAGGTTGTTGCGATAAGTTTTTCGCAAAATCCGGTGACGCGAACCCCTAGAAATTCCACATAGAACGCAGCTATTTGGGTCATCAGGCGACAAACCGCATCACCCTTGCTCGCGGACTAATACCAAAAACGCTTCGCTGGCCGTCCAACTTCACCGCGCCGAAAAACACTACAATCCCAAGGCTTTTTGATCAATTCAAAACCTAGTTGAAAATCTACAGCGATCGCCGAGCTATGGGGAGCCAAACCTAGCTTGACAACCTCGCAGATCCGGCGATTTACTGCGCACTATTTGGAACCCTGGTCAGAATTAAACTCCGACCCGGAACCTTAACGCTGTTTTTCATTATTCCCCTGGAACAGCGAATATGTTGAAACTGTGATTTAGGAAGAACTTGAGTTACGATGAGCAATGTTTTGTAATAGAATGTAAATTTACAAGAAAGGGATAGTTTCCCTACTTCATACACCTACACCTCAAGTTCATACACCTAAGTAGTACTTAAGTTGTATGAACTTGAGGTGTAGGTGTATGAAATTACTAATGATCTATCTAATCGGTCAAACATATCTGTTCTTATTTTTTTTCTTTTCTTAGATGGTACACGGATAGATGCAGGTCAGATTATGTTGACCTTGTGGCCAATGCCACTTCTATCTTATAGGACGTCATTGAATGTTAGCCAATCCAAAAACAGAATGTGTTGGTTTTCATTATTTTAACAAATTCCTTCTTTTGTCAAGTATATATATTGTCAAGTACATGTTAGATCTGTTAAGTCTGTATGTGCAGTTGAAAGTCTTTTAAAACTAAAGCACCTAGAAAATGGAAGAACACACTATGTGCCAATTCTTCATGCCCCA